CCCACCTCGGAAGGATGGAAGGCTGAGTCGACCCTGAGCCGGTGAGATTTGAACAGCCGAACTGCAGAACTGCAGTCAGCTGAAGTAGCCTGCAGGGCTGCATTTAACCACTGCGCCACTTCGGCTCTTCATGCATCCTGAAATGCATTTCAGGAATGGACATTTCGTATGGGGAACTCATAGCCATCGCTCTCTCTCAGCCTTAGGGAAAAGCAAGCAAGGGTAAACTACTTTACCTCTAAGAAGCAACTTAGACCTAAGGAGAAATTTCCTGAGAGAACAATTGATCAGTGGAACAACTTGCCTCCAGAAGTTGTGAATGCGCCAATACGGGAAGTTTTTAAGAAGATGTTGGGATAACCATTTGTCTGAAGTGGTGTAGGGTTTCCTCCCTAAGCAGGAGGTTGGACTAGAAGACCTCCAAGGTCCCTTCCAGCTCTGTTATTCTATATTCTACTTCCTAAAAACTTTACCAACAAAAGTAAACCTTAGACTGTCTACTGTCGACCTCACCCCATTCCTAAGAGGCCTGTAAGGGGCGTGCATAAGCGCACCAAAGTGCCTACCGTCCCTGTCCCCACTTATTCGTGTCCATTTTCTGCATTCATAATCATGTTGATACTTATATCTGTTATCTTATACATGCTTGACAAATAAATAAATAAATAAACCCGGAGGAAGTGGCACGTAAGCAGTTTCCAAGAGTCAATACTGTCTCGAAGAGACTAAAAAGAAATTTATTTGGAGGAGGTAAGATCAGGTCACCGATACATCCGACAGAAATCTGGATCTTGCCCGTATTCCCCAGTGTTGCTTCTCCTGATCTGGATAGACCCGTGCTAGAAAGTTCTTTGCGCCCAAAAGACAAGAGTTCCTAAAACCCCAGAAGCGCAGCATTGCTTTGCTCTCTGTTTTTGTGAATGAAAATTACTTGGAAACACATTTCAGAGTTCCCCTTCAAAGAGCGCTGCACTGCTGTATACAGCGCCTCCTGGTGGTAATTGAAGCAACTGCGCTGAGCCGGATTGTTTTCTCCTCCTCCCGCTGCAACGCCCACTTTTTTCAGCTACCAAGATTCGTGCGCTTCGCCGCTGATGCTTCCATCGCGTGACAATTGCCAATTGTAATATATCCTGTAATAAAAAAAATAAACTAGGGTTGAATTATGTCTGTTGTGGCTGTTCGTCCCTTCCACTTTCATTGCCTTGCAGACAGAATAAAAAAAATTAACAGAAAGATTTTTTCCAGTCTTTTCCAAGGAAAGCTATTGCTTTCTATTCCCTATAATGCAACTGTTATACAAAGGAAGTCCCTTTGTGGTGGTTCAGGGTTAGGATTAGGAAATAGGATAGGTTTACCCTCAGCTATAGGTAGATTTTTTTTTAAAAGCAATACTTTTGAGCAACAAATGTGATTATGAATTGAACATATTTGTTACTCTTTTAAGTTGTACTTTAACGTAGAATAGAATAGAATTCTTTATTGGCCAAGTGTGATTGGACACACAAGGAATTTGTCTTTGGGGCATGTGCTCCATAGAAAGTATATAGAAAGACACTATACATTCGTCAAGAATTATAAGGTACAATACTTAATGATAGTCATAGGGTACAAATAAGCAGTCAGGAAACAATATCAATATAAATCGTAAGGATACAAGCAGCAAAGTTACAGTCCTGCAGTCNAAAATTCCATCCTCCATGTATATAATTTATTATCAACTTGTTGTAACCAGCTGATATACTTTTTTTATAACATATACTAGTTGTGCTTTTTTCCCTCTGTTTTGTTTTTTCCTCTTTTTTGTTTTGATTCCCCCCCCCACTGTTGTGGGTATGTGTTATGTAACAAAAAAATAAAAAAAAATTATTTAAAAAAAAGAAAGGTGGAGGCTTCTTTCCAAGAGCATCTTTCTCCATTTCTCATTCAGGGAAATATTCTGCCTTTTTAATATTTCTCAAAATATTTCACTCTTCTAGGAGAGGGGTGGGTGCTAACTTTCTACAATCACGAGGGCCAAAAAGATGCTGCAACAGTACTAAGTGCGAAAAATGGTCATCCATTACTTTTCCCAGTGCCGTTTCAACTTAGAACGGTCACTAAATGAACTGTTGTAAGTCGAAGACTACCTTTATTTCTTGCTAGGCCAAGGTGCTTAGCGGCCTTATGGTTAATATTTCATAACAAAAACGCTGCATACGCTTTCGGGCGCCAAAGCTGTTGACCATCAAGCAATCGAGGTCGGGAGCGGCAGAGCCACTCTCGGGCGACTTTCGGCGAAGGGAAAGAAAAGGGAAGCCGAAGGAGCAGCAGCCGCACCGGGAAGGCGGAGAAAGGGCGCGGCGCTGGCGAGGAGGGCGGTGCCGCTGGTTGCACCTGGCGGCTGCCGGGTCCTGCCTTCCCTGGAAGCGCCTTGGAGCCGGAGTAACCCCGGGAGGCCGGCTGAGCGTCGCCCTGCACTTTGCGATCCGAGAAGGCGGGCCTCGCACAAGAAAGGCCGGGGGGTGTGTGTGTGTGTGTGGGGAAGCGGCGCCGGGGCAGCAGCCGGGCGATGGTGCACGAAGCTGGGCAGCCGCCAAGCCGCCCTCGGAGCGGGGCCGGGAGGCCCGCCACCACCTGCCATAGCTGCGCTTGCCGCCGCGGAGAAGTAGCCTCGGGCAGCGCCCCGCGTTTGATCAAGGTGAGTCTCTCTCCCGAAACGATCGCGAGGGAAAGAGGCGGCGAACAAAAGGCTCCGGGCAGGCCGGGTTAGGTGAATCGCTGGCGGCGAAGCGTTATTTCCTAGGCGCGCTCCGTGGGATGGTGATGATGATGGTGCCTCTCGTCTATGCGAGATATGCCATAGGTGGGAATGTCGGAGCCATGGCGTCAGCAAACCCGAGGCATTCGCCCTGGACATCCGGTGTGTAAGGAGATCTTGAAAGAGTAGCTCCGACTCCGGGGCTTGCAATGAAAAGCGGAGGAAGGACCGGAGAACTCTTAAAGAGGAGTCCCGGCCCCGGGCTTTGCATTTTAAGACTCCCCCCACCTCCCCTCCCCTCCCGATCGCTTTGAGAGTCAACATCTCGAGCGCGGGTCGTGGGAACGGGTTGCAAATCGGGTTTAAAAGCAAATCGGTTGCGAGCGGGACAGAGTTGCGGGCGGGAAGGGGGGAGAGGAGAATCAAGACGTCGTTCTTTTATTTCCACATTTACCTGGAATAAACCCCCTTGAGTTGGGAGTTAACTCCAGAATAGGATTAAATGATGGTCCTGGAGTACTTTTTTCTCAAGAAGTGTGGGAACGCTGACTTCCTCCACGGTGCTTAGGAAAATGTCTCGGGCTTCCCGGCCCCCTAAAATTGCTCCGTCGGTTCTGTAATTCGCGCTTTTCCTCCCAGGACCGCTTCAAACGTATCCTTGAAAACAGGAAATCACTGAGCACCGGCTTGGCGTCGACTAGATCCTCCTCTTCTGTCAGCCGAAGTCCGCCCCTCGGCTGTTTTTTTTTGCCAAAGAGCCGGTATCGCCCGGGCGGTGACTTCCGCAGAGCCTCCGGGACACCAGGGGGAAAGGGAAATATGGCCAAGCTCCGAGCTGGTTTGGAAGCCGAGGGAGTGAGCAAGCCAGCCGCGAACGAGTTCCGCGGCGTCCTCTAAAAGAAGCGCCGCATCCTTTGAACGAGGCTGGCGCGCCCGCTGTTGTTTTTGCTGTAGGCTTGAGTGGGGGGGGGGGATTTATTTTTTAATTCTGTCCGCGTATCTATCATCTAGCTCAGTGTTTCTCAACCTTGGCCACTTGAAGATGTCTGGACTTCAACTCCCAGAATTCCCCAGCCAGCATTCGCTGGCTGGGGAATTCTGGGAGTTGAAGTCCAGACATCTTCAAGTGGCCAAGGTTGAGAAACACTGAGCTAGCTATCTATAGATATATATGTGCGTATATACGTGTGTGTATGTGTGTACGCACAGGTAGTCCCCGATTTAGGAGCACAGTTGAGCCCAAAATTTCTGTTGCCGAGACCGTTGTTAAATCAGTTTCGCCACTTCCTACCACCCATCTTGCCACAGTTGTTAAGGGGGTTACTGCAGTTAAGTTTAGTAACATGGTTGTAAAGTGAATCTGGCTTCCCCATTGACTTTGCTTGTCAGAAGGTCGTAAAAGTCATCACATACCTCCCCCCCCCTCCCAAAGACATTGCAACCATCATCAATTCATGCCAGTTGCCAAGCATCTGAATTTTGATTACCTGACCCATGGGGATGACACAGTGGTCGTAGGCGTGAAAAATGGTAATAACTCACTTTTTTTCAGTGCCATTATCACTTTGAATGGTTGCAAGTCAACGACTACCTGTGTGTGGATTAGCTAGACGTATTTATATTTTTATAAATAACACAAGGTGGCACAAGATACCTAATACTCCTTCCACCCCCTATTTTCCCCACAACAACGATCTTGTGAGGTGAGTTGGGCCGAGACCAAGTGACTGGCACAAAGCCACACAGCTGGCTGTCATGGCTAAGGCAGGACTAAAATCCACTTTCATCTGTTTCTAGGCCAACACCTTAACCACTAGATTAATTCATGAACTTATGGCTGGGCATTCAAAACAAAATTCCTACTTTTGTTTTGCAGGTTATTGCCAAATAAAATATGTTGATGGTCACTAGGTTCAAGTCAGGACATGGGTTTTATTATAATCACTCAAATGAGTTTAACTCTTAACAATTAGGAACCTATTGCACATAATTAGGAAGATGAATGATTTCCCTATTAGAAATTATGGGCCTTTCCTCCCTTGCACCACTGAGCCAAGGTGGCGCAGTGGTTAAATGCAGCACTGCAGGCTACTGCTAGATCAGCAGGTCAGCGGTTCAAATCTCACCGGCTCAGGGTTGACTCAGCCTTCCATCCTTCCGAGGTGGGTAAAATGAGGACCCAGATTGTTGGGGGCAATATGCTGACTCTCTGTAAACCGCTTAGAGAGGCCTGAAAGGCCTATGAAGCGGTATATAAGTCTACTGCTATTGCACGTTCTTTCAGGAAACCCCACCCACCAAGCTTTCCCCAGTTGCCTTCATTTCATCCCAATTCTGTATCTGAACACTTTAAGTAGTCTTTAGTTCCCCTCTCAGTGCTTTCCACTATAAAACAGATCACAAGTCACAACAGTAGTCCTGCATACACACTCTGTTGCACCTTGGATCTTGCTTGGTTGACGTTACAGCCAGGTGATCAATCCTTAAGGAGTGGGATCAGTTGGATTCTGTTGTTCACTTTAACCAAATTGGATAGCATCCATGCTACTTTGGATGGAAAATCATTTTTTGCTTATAACAGTCTCTCTCATTCTCTCTCCTCTCCCATGTTTCTTGGTTGTTTGAGTTGCTCCTTAGTTTACCATAGTCCTAGGATGACACTAAACTTGTGATCAGAAGGAGCTTTTTGTGGTTTGTTACAAATTCATTTAAAGGCACTTTCATACATGACGTTAGCACTACAGAATAGCACTAATCTTTTCTCTAAATCCAATGTTTTGAAGTGCTTTCTACCTATAATTGACAAATTACACTGATATGAAATTTGCTGGCCCATTGTTGATGTTTCAACTGCTTATTTCTGTCTCCTAGTGCCACACAACCATTATTTAGATAGCAGAAGGCCTCTATTACTATTGTAATGATGGATGGATGACTGGAGGTCATAAAGGCCTTTTCCCATCTGCAGTCAATTAAAGCACAATCATGGCCTATCTACAACTGTTTCCACATCCTCATGTTGCTTCCTTATGATGTTCCTTTTATGTTGGCCCCAGCCTAAGCAGGAGGCAAGTATAGGCATGCTTTAGCTGTATCCATTATTAAAATAATACTTTCCCTTTACTTAGCACAGGCCAGAGATAGCTTTAAGGTATATCAAATCTGTTAAGCATTTTTACCCATGATCTTGGAGATAGGTCATGACAGGGAAAGGGGGGGGGAGGGTAGAGCTAGAGTAGGAATTTGTAATGAGGAAAGCAAATAGCACACCCGTAATAGTGTTCTTCCAACAAGCTTGGATAGAATGCACAATTATGGTAAGGATCAATTTGATGGGTCGTAATTGCTTATATTTGTTGTAATGTTAGAACAAGCTCTTGGGAAGATGACAACACTGTCCAAATACTCGGTAGCATTTTCATTTTTACTGAATAAATAAAATAGTTGGGTTAAAAGAGAAACTTTTATTGCACATATTCTGTTTGAGTAGAAATGGGGAAGAAAGCTTTAAAGCTAAACACCCCTCTAAACAATAATTTGATGTTAGTATCTCAGCCTTATTCATGCTGTGATGGTGAGGTACAACCTCAAATATTTGAGGATGGCCGGGGGGGGGGGGGGGGAGACTGGATGCCGTGACGAGACGACGTGCGATCTCAAAGCTCTGAGATCGCACTCGATACTTTTATTGCTGGGGGGTTCTAATGGACCTAAATCATCCCGAAGAGATGGTGACCA